GACAGTTCGTTGGACAGTTTCATTGCATTTATTTCTCAGTTTTTTCGCCCTTTTTTCGAGGACACACGAAAAAGTGGAATTCAAATAGTGTCCATTTCTCTATATTGTTTTTGGCTTTTTTTGAGAATTGTTATGGCTTCTTGAACTAATTGATTCGTACAAACAACAGTTTATGCCTACCACTATCAGTCGCTTTTGATTGCCTTATAAAGTTTAAAACAAATCTAAGAGTAAGCTTTACTCTTGATCTAAAACCTGTAATATTTGAAATTGTCCCTATATTTGTGTACCCTTCCAGCAATATGAACCCAGAAGAGGGATTATATTTCAACAAAAGTGGTTGCAGTATTTGCGACCCAACTGCAGGTGGTAGTTGCGAGATTGTGTGTGATGAGGTGGCAGATCTTGTGCTGGGAATAGTAAGTGTTTTCTTCAAATAATCAAGTTTCAATATTAAAATGACCCTAACTTACGGTATCACTAAATTCTTAAACCAAATGATGTTTTACTGATAGTAAAAGTCTTTTACGAAAAACCTTGCATCTTAAATTTTCTGTAATCTCCCATAGAGACAGTCTATATAAAAAATGCGTAATTGTTCCTGAAACATTTTGATAAAATCTCCCAGGTTCATCTGGTGATGGGCGTAGTAGGATTTATAGTGAACACTCTAGCTCTCTACCTCTTCTACAAGATGGGAAAACAGAAGCCATACTACATTGTCATTGTGTTTGAAACCTTTAACCCGACCGTGGGTGTGCCTGACTGCTCTTACAGTGCTACGTTCTTATTACTCTCCGGTTAGATTCCAATATTAATATGTTGATTTTATTACTCTCCGGTTAGATTCCAATATAATATGTTGATTTTATTACTCTCCAGTTAGATTCCGAATATTAATATGTAGATTTTATTACTCTCAGGTTAGATTCCAATAAAATGTAGATTTTCTTTTCAGCTTTACTGTGTAGCTTTACAAAGGATACATATCAAATACACATCCAACTGACATTGTAAAGATCCCTAACTACCCTTAAACACGTTAAACGTTTTAAAACCGAAATTTTAACCACATATGGTAAATTCTAAACGTTGCCGCAAAATTAAATCATCTCAGATCGACTTTAAATAGTCCACTGGTTCAGAATGAGATTTCGACACTATAATTGTATACTACAAAAAGAACGCTGATAATTTAAATTCTTGCTCTAAAAACATGACGGAATTACAATCCAACCTCCAGGAAGAGACGACTGGTTCCAATCCCTGTCACCGCTGTGTTGACTTAGCAGAATGGTATGGAACTGGAACATGGTCATCACACCCCTCCTCCTCAGTGTAGCTGGACTGATGAGGCTACATGCTGTCTACTATCCGCACAGTGCTTTCCTTGACAGGAACAGTAGACTGGTTAGTACTGAGTTAACTTACTTATACAGGTCGTTCTGACTTCTGAAGGTTGTACACTGTACACTGTACACTGCACTGTACACTGCACTACATTGTACAGTGTACACTGTACACTGTACACTGTACACTGTACACTGTACACTGTACACTGTACACTGTACAACCTTCAGACTGTACAGTATACAGTATATGGCTCCTAAACGTTATATTTATACGCTATTTAATTTACAAACTGAATCCTTTGCGTTGCAAAACATTACGAATGAATTGGTACGGTCTGAGATTGTTGAATAACATTATTTCAGGTGGTTGGACTTTGTATGTTATCGCATATATCTACGGAGATGCTTATACGCCTTTCTTCCGTACTACTTCGGCGACAATTTTCAAATACGAATCACAAATGTGTAGTCAATTTCTGATTTCAGAACAAATCTTATTTCGGATATTACTGACTTGACCAATCACTATTAGCATTGTAGTAATATCATTATTATTATTCCCAATTCTAATACATTATGCTTGTTTACAACGACTGTTTGATGAAAATCATAATTCTCTCCAGTCGAAGTAACTGTGACTTTGTACTCGATGCAGAGGGAGATAATGCTGAAGAGATCGGATCATTATATTTTGCACTGATGGGGCCTATTCCAATGTTTCGTCCCTCCTTCTTATCATAGTTACCAACTCAGTTATTGTCATCTATATTATGAAGCGTTATAAGGTAATTAATATGGATTTATGTTTTTCTTGGATAATCTTAAAGTGGTTGCTTTGAATGTCTGATGTCAAATCTAAAAAGCTATCATGTTTCAGTATAGGTAGTTAAGTATTTTAGTTTAATCATACATCTGATTCGTGTACCCAGTTGCTTTTATAAATTTATGATCTGGTTAAAATTGTGCAGTCGTCATGGAATCGAAAAAAGTCCAGAAAGTCCAGAAAGCAAGGTAGCTTTGGAAGCTTCATTATAAATATGGACCAGAAAGTTCAAAGCAAGCAAGTTGTAAGTTAAATTAATAATTTATCTACCAATTTGTACTGTACAATGTACAATTATTATGTACAATGGATTCAAATTATCATATAAAACGACTGTAAAAAATACTGGTAACTAGGCACCATTTTTTAAAGAAATTTTTAAAAATTTCAAACTGATATGGTGCAAGTAACTTAACAATACAATTTCAGATAGTATCACTATTGATGATGACCGGATGGTACATGATGTGTTACTCTATCATTATATTCTGTAACTTCAAGAATTTCTTTAGCTACTGGAAGCATACTAACACTGACATCGGAGTGGTGAGCTATATCTTTTTAATAATATACTCTTTAATAAATACATGTTACATTGTTATATATTATAATACAATAAACTACTCATTACTAGTTTATTGTAAGACTGCACAGGATATGCAATATATTTCAGTTTTTACAATGCAGTTCACTTTTGGTTTTAACTTTCGAATATGAATGTCAAAATCTGAAGAATATTTTAAGCAGTACAACTACAAGAACCTTATAATATAATCTTTATCATATCCGTAAATAACAAAACCTGTTTCAGACTGAACAAATCTCCACCATATATCTTTCTACGCTACCTACAACTTCTTAGCCTACCTCAACTCGTTTGTAAACCCCTTTATTCTATTAACGACGGGGAGTAGCTTTAGACAGGAACTCGGCAGACTTTCTCTCAGAATTAGAAATAAATGTGGTCTGATCAGTCATAAAGAATCCAGAGCAGCAAGCCTACAAGACACTAATAATGCAACGCTGAGGAGGACAAGCTTGCCTCTGATTCAGGAACAAGGGGAAATTTAGGAATGTGACCTCCACGCCGCCGAGGATATTAATCAAGCTCAACCAACATCATACCAGAGCTTCAACCAAATTATACCACTTAATAACACATTAGACCAACCTCAACCAATTAACAATTCAACACATTATACCAGCTCAACATATTAATTACCAGCTCACCACATTAGACCAGCTCAACCACATTAGACCAGCTCAACCAAATTAGACCAATTCAACCAAATTAGACCAACTTAACCACATCAGACCAGCTCAACCATATTAGACCAGCCCAACCAAATTATACCAGCTTAATTAACACATCAGACCAGCTCAACCATTATAGACCAGCTCAACCACATCAGACCAGCTCAACCACATTAGACCAACTCAACCACATAAGACCAGCTCAACCACATTAGACCAATTCAACCACATTAGACCAACTCAACCACAATAAGACTTTGCTCAACACATTATACCCGCTCAACCACAAAAGACCAGCTCAACCACATATGACCAGCTCACCACATATAATCAACTCAACCACATTAGACCACTCAAACCACAATTAACCAGCACAGATCAACCACCTAAAACAGCTCAACCACATAAGACCAGCTCAACCACATAAGACCAACTCAACCACATTATATCAACTCAACCACATTAGACCAGCTCAACCACATTATATCAACTCAACCACATTAGACCAACTCAACCACATTATACCAGCTCAACCATATTATACCAGCTCAACCACATTAGACCAGCTCAACCACATTAAACCAGCTCAACCACATTATACCAGCTCAACCACATTAGACCAACTCAACCACATTATACCAGGCTCAACCAATTATACCAACTCAACCACATAATACAGCTCAACCACATTAGACCAACTCAACCACATTAGACCAACTCAACCACATTAGACCAACTCAACCACATGATATCAACTCAACCACATTAGACCAACTCAACCACATTAGACCAATTCAACCACATTATATCAACTCAACCACATTAGACCAACTTAACCACATTAGACCAATTCAACCACATTAGACCAACTCAACCACATTAGACCAACTCAACCACATTATAAAGACCAACATGTTACTTTCACACAGAAGCTCCCTTAAAAAAAAAAATGTGAAATCTGTTTTGCCTTCTATCCGGAGATAGAGATAAGAACCGTTAGCGAAACACTTTCTCAGTTCCCGACATCACAAGGGACCAAACAGAAATATTGATCATAAATTTTAATCTGATCGTCATATGGGAAAAACATGGGATCATCAAGATGTATTTTCACTATGCTGAGCAAAAGTAGCCCGATTGGAAATGGCTTTATAACGAGTGAAACTCGCGAAACTGCGCAAGATCTTCTCTCAATTGAAAGTAGGGACTACCATGGGTCCTTTGTGCGATTAAATGACTAAAAAGGAAAATCAGTCTCATAGAAAACCGCTGAGTTTAACTAAACATTTTTCATGACGATTTGGTAAAACATCCATTACAACAGCAACTTTTATAAATGTATTATACACATAATGTATTATGTTGGAACTTGAAGCTGACTAAACCAAACTTAACACCTCGCACAGTCCACGTCTTTTTGCTAAACTTTCTGTTTTCTTTTTCCATTACTGCTACTATGATTTTTTAACCTCAAGATTATTGCAATCTTAAAAATTAAAATTTATGAAGCATTTCACTTGTTGAACTGCTAACATTTTGGCTGCATGATTTAAAATAAAAATGTTATGTTCAATAGAAAATCATGAATGCTACAAATATACATTATACAACTACAGTCAACTACTACTGTCAGCTAGAAAGTTAAAATCTAAATCGAATCTAAATTGTTTATCATAATGAAAGTCACATCAAATCGTCAATACTTTGCTAACGGTAGGATAAATCTAAAATCGGGATGAGTGTTATCAAGATTACTGATTCAAATTTCTATCCTAAGTAATACTAATACTGCTAACAAGTCAATCAAAGTGAGCGAAAGGATATGTTATCTACTGTGTAGTTGTAAAACGTACACTCTCGACTACTAAAAACTGAAAGAAATAAAACATAAGATAGCAGTCAGCTTTAGTTCATAACCGGCGCCAGTCTGAGTAAAGTTTCTGTTTGAATTGTTTAGGGCAACGAAAATTCGCGATAAAAAAGCCATGCACATTATCGACGATTTTCCTGTGTCAGTTGAGAAAATGAAATCTTAGTGGACTATAATACCATTCTTCCATTTTGCTTGAAGTTAAAGTTTCAAATCTTTCTTGATCAAAGACTCGAGTCATTTATTTTGGGCGGAACCCTTGGAGTACCGTTTATATCAGGGGATGTTGTGTTTCTTATGGGAGAAAGAGCAAGAACGGTGTCTTGCTTGTTAAAAGTATTGGAGAAAGTAGTTTCCTCTCTGGCGACACTCTTGTTAGCCAGGACGCTACTCATCACTGACAGGCTGGTGTGACCCCGAGTAAGAGCTGCTGAAGATTTCCTGTAGGCCCCATGCATGGACTTCTTGAAGTAGAATTTCATATTTTGGCCTCTTGCCAGGAAGATGCAAGGGTTGATCCCAGAGTTGGCAATGCTTAGTCCTGATGTGAGAAGATATAGAACAAAGCATGCCCATCGCATACCAATTGGGCTCTCAATGATGCGATCAGCAATCGTGTAGTCAGCTACTCCTTTGAGGGCGGAGAGAGAGATTGCAAGCCTGGGAGTGAAACAAATGAGAGTGGAGACGGTGAGTATAAGGATTGTGATAGCACCATCTCTACTTGATTTAGCATTGGTAGATTTCATAGCGGGGGAGAAGATGAGGTTATGAGCGGTGATGTAGGATGTGATGGTGATTGGAATTACAGGAATGTACATGGTGACAATCTCCATCACGATCAGGTAAGCCCAGTGTCGAGTTTCAATTTCAGATGACTCCAGTGTGCTTATGAATTCAGATTGCCCTATGCGAGTGAAGGGCACGATGGTGTAGGACATGTCACTGCAGACGAAAACAGGGTAGAAGCAGAGCACGAACAGAGGGACGAGGTAGCAGAGTAGAGCTGAGAAGACCAACTTTTTGTTGTTTCTTCTGAAGGGTGAGACGACGGAGAGACATCGACACCAACTCATCACCATGAACAGGAACATTGAAAAACGTATCTACAGGAAGTTACTTTAATTCAAAATATTATCGTCTCTAAATTTCATTAATTGGGCTTTCCGATTACTCAAACATCGAAACAATAGTTGTGGTTTCTAAGTTTAGAATGCTATGTGACAGAGCTACCATGGAAAAAGATTCTAAAATATACCAATATCACTAGTTTAAATAAAGAAGTCCCAAAGCCTGGGATATTTTTAGTGGCACATTATAATAATCAAACTCACCTCAAGATTTGAAAGGGCAGAAATAACACTGAAAACAGTAAAGTATTGGGTTGAGAAGTTGAAGAAGTTGACAGCCTGAACGTTTATCAGCATTTGGAGGGGTCCAAGAGTGAGCACAGTTGCCAGATCCACGACACAGAGTGCAATAAAGAGAATAGTCGTGATATCTTTTCTCTGTTTCTTGATGAAGAAGAGGAGTCCGAAGCTGTTAGCGAAGATCCCAACCACAGTGAAAATGAAGTTAACCACAAACAGAATATACTGAGGATAAGTTTATTTTAAAATCATTTATTTTATCCTCATTATTTATAGGCTATGTTCATTCGTATAAAGCTGCTGAGCACTAATTAGCGCTTCAGTAAGATTATTCAAAATTAGATCAAAGTTTAGGCATGTCTAGTGGCCATATAAACGGTCGAAAGAGATGGCACTGTTCATCTAATCTTCCAATAAAAAAGATTTGATTATTAAAATATAGTGTAGACTGCAGTAGAGGAGCTCAGTCCAAGTTAAGAATATATCAATTTACATTTCACAATATATTTCAGTTGGGAAACTTGTTCGACCCATTTATTTGGACTGATGTGTTAGCACTAAAGGCACAATGTTAGCACTAAAGGCACAATGTTAGCACTAAAGGCACAATGTACGGCTCCGACTAACCTCTGGCCAGCCGCTAGTCCACTCGTCTACTTCTTCTTTGGATAAATCAAACAACGTTCCGCATTCTATCATCATGTTATCAAAGTGACAACGCTAAGAAATAAATACTGTAGTGTTTAGTAGGGAGGATCACGCTGAAAGTGAAACCTCACGTCCGGCCTAATTACGAGATTTAACAAACAAATCGACAGAATGGTTAAAATTTAAAACGAACAAACTAGACAGAATTAGAATTAAGGATGTCATGAGTTAAATTAGGTGAAGATTATTAGGATTTTACGAGCTGACGCTAATCTAACCCGTTTGTACAGCTGTACAGCATGTGACCAACACAACAATAACAGCAAATATAGAATAAGATGCGACAAATAGTTTAACTTTAAACGGTAAAATTTGTCAACAATATTTATAATGTGACAATTTGCAATATTATCCGCGGTTTATGGAGACATCATTCCAATACAAAATAGTTTCATTCAAAATGAAATAGTTTTGGAGCATGACCAATTACTTAGGAGAAAAAATGGGTGAAATGAGTAATTACAATTATGAACTCTATCGACTATCACTATCATATTTCATAATTTTAAGTCACACTTATTACTAATAGACTGATGATTGATCCTATAAGGATCATTGGAATCCAGGAATTATCATATCATAACGATCCTAAATAAAAATTAAATATTGTGCCTCTGATTATATTCAAATATCTCGATACAGTAACTAAGCTTATGGTAGCTATCAATACTTGAAAAGCATGTTATCATTTTTATACTAGCCAGTGCTGACGAATCCTTAGCAATTATTAACCCCTAATCCCTATGCAATATCACATACACATTACACAGTCAGTTATTCACATGTTACAGTCTTATTTACCTTGGGAAGTAAGTGTAACTAGTGTAGATTATTTAATTAATTAGACTTTAGCACCTACGGAGCGTCCCTCCTGTTTTACTATGGAGTTGAAGTAAGGCCTCTATATAATACCTTCAGAGAGAACTTAAAATTCATATTCATCGGTTGTGAGAGTACGGTAAAATTAGGATGCGACTAGAATCATAATCATATAGTGGAACAAGTAAATCAAAGTCCTATTAAACGAAGTCGTGCTAAAAGCACAAATGTTTGCGCTATGCAGATGCTGCCATAAAAGATTTTAAACAATTTTAAAGTTTTTTTGCTGAATACTACATGATCAATGAAAACATATAATGATCAAAGGTTAGGAATTCCAGCCTCAAAGTATAAAGACTAATCCACACAGACACGAAATTAAACTTAAAGAAAATTCCGCGTTAATTTGTTGTATTGTTAATATTTTTACTCTGTGAAGATGGTAACTAATGACTGACATATTTCTTTTGATTTAATTTCAAAGGAATGGTTGGCAATAGGTGGTAAACCTTGCTTCTGTTTATGAATTTGGAGTAGTTTTTAAGAACACATATAGATTATAGCACCAAGCTTAGGGTTAACGACTATAAGTATAAAGTTAGCCGTCGAGCTCAAAAATTGTGTAGATGACCTCTTAAAACGGTTCGGAGGTGAACGACCAACGTCTGCAAAATGGTCACTTTCATTGCCTAAACGTGTTTTAGGCAATATTGTCGTCTGTAAGCCATATATATCATATCACAGTGCTGGCAAGCACGACCGGTGCATTTATTGTGGGTATACTATGTACCCCCTTTACTATTATACCCCCTTTACTATTATACCCCCTTTGGTACACGTTACAAGCCTCTTTCGTGCACGCGAAGCGTGCACTCCGGCCGGAGGAGGCGGCCGAAGGCCGCCGCCTCCGGCAGGAGTTTTTCAGGCATTAAGACTCATCGGAAGTCGTTCAGCAGATTTAATTTTAGTTCAAAACATTCTAATTTGATGTTAAAGATGACAGGAATAGAAAATAGTTATGTTGAGATTTTTAAGAAATTTGCATAAAATACTCGCCAGCACTGTTATACGAAATTCGGTAAAAAACCCAAAATCGCCATATTCAGGAGCCTTAATAACCATGTTAAAATCGAGTTAGAGATCTGAAATTTTTCAGAGCGTCTAGACGTTGACCAAATCGACTGCAAAAAAAGTTTCAGGTCTCAGAATCATCGGGAAATGGGTTTTCTAGAACCCCTGTTTTACGATAGATTGTCGTGATACATACATACCTATATACATATATTCAGGGATAGACGCTTTGCCAGTCAAATGTAGCCTGTTTTTAATTGTCCATAGATTCAAAAGTATAAAAGATACAGCAATTTCCGACCACAGGTCTTGAAAATAATTGTTTACACTTTAGTTTACATTGTATAAACAAATTATTTGACGTCATGAACACCCCTTGATGACGTCATCAAGTTAACCGTTTTTAAAACTTGATTTTTGACAAAGTAATAACTTTTAAAAATGATTTTACACCATTAAAAAGTAATTGAATTCAAAATCTGAGGAATTTTTTATCTTAGATAATTGTTCAAGCATTCTGAAAATCTACCGGAAAGTTTTTCTAGCTTGCTCCTTCATAAAGATATTCGTGATTGAAGTTTGTGCTTTTTTGAAGAATTATTTTATAAAAACGTCAATTTTGCGATTTAGTATTCTCTGGTGTTGGGCCATGCCTTGGGTTGTGGAGCTCTGTTCTGCTTCCTATAGGTATAAATTGTGCATTAGGCTAGTTTTAAAGTTGAAAATCGAAAAGTTGCACACGTGGGGACACGCCCAAATTGATAGAAAATTGCTAAAATCACTGAAAATTGCTGTTTTCGTCATTTTCTGTCAACTTTAGAGTGCCGTTGTGATAACAGTTCTTCTTGAAATACTTTGAAACTTTGCATGCTTATCAAGCTATATATAAAACAATTACACGCAAAAATTTACGGCGATTCAATATTGGATGCGCACGCAACGTCCGCTCAAAGTTTGCACGTGCGAAAAGTGAGAATTTTGCTCATTCGTGATTTCCAACAAATTCTGCTTTTTAATGTCATTATATTATATGAATTTAATGCCAACTTGAATGAGTATAAAGTGGCATATTCAGTCAGTGATCGACCGATATGCTTACCTAAACACAAGGAAATGTTTTTAAAGGAAAAATTTCTAAATCGTGGAAACTTCCTCCTTATTAATATTAATGAAGATATCAGTTTATATTTCGACGTTATAAAGTACCCTGACATTATAATAAAAAAGAGATGATATTTTACCAAAACCCATAATCATGGGTAGAGTGGACCGCTGCCAGTGTCTCTCTTTCCCAAACAAAAGGAAATGATATTAATTTGATTGACCGTTCTCAAATGCAAAATGATACCGAGAATGAAATCGGTCCCTCGCTTTTCCCATTCATTTACAATTGTAATAGATTAAAAAGAACTACCCAAAGGCATCTGTGGGAGAAAAGCGAGCGACCGATTTCATTCTCGGTATCATTTTGCATTTGAGAACGGTCAATCAAATTAATATCATTTCCTTTTGTTTGGGAAAGAGAGACACTGGCAGCGGTCCACTCTACCCATGATTATGGGTTTTGGTAAAATAATATATCCTATAGATAAGTTCACTGCAGTAACGCTACACCTAACTAAATTCCAGAAGTCTTCTGATTCTAATGCGTGTTATGCATTTATTATGAAGCCCGGCGACCAGCGCCAGCTGATAAAATCTTGCAACAAATTTTGACAAATTTGTTGAAAAAATCGGATTCAAGCTGTAAAGAGTTCAAATACTATTAAATCGGATAGTCGCTAAATACTCGCATTGTTAGGCAATAACATAAAAGCGAAGACAAATGATTGAGTATAAAATATAACCTGGCGTGACAAATTGACGCAAGAAAAGAGTGATCGAAAATTCTTTATTTTCCAGCTTTTGATTCCCCATATTTTCACAGACGGACTAGATTTACTAGCAACGTGATGAAAATTGATCGTATTAATATTCAATAATACGTGTTGATGTACTCCTTTGATCAAATAACACTAACAGAGATCCATTTTAACTATTTTTGTAAAAACGAACAAGTATTTATATTGTTTAAGACGAACGTCATGAATTTAACTACCGTATAACTAAAAGTTGACAGTAGCTGCAATAAGAATAACATGTTTAAACATCATCCATAATCCATATGAGGTACATAGTGCATATTTATTTTTATATGTTTTAAAACAATACTGTACAGAAATATCACAAGCTTACGAAATAGAAGGGCAACTCAATGCTCAGGGAGGATTCAAAATAACTAAAATCTGGGTTACATAATATGTGACGACCTAACAATGATCTAATTGATAGTTCTTTCATTCAAATTTCTGATTGTTTCTGATTGTTTCTGATTGTTTCTGATTGTTTCTGATCTGATTGATAAGCACAGCAACAATACTAATAGAGAAGGATCGTGGTGGGAGCACGTGACAGTGTTTCATAAAATTCATTGGCCGAACTGGTTACGCGGTGAATGGTGATTAATTGTGAGGCTTTTCACGAGTCAAAAAATATGACTTGATTTGATTTGAAACTTTTACAAAATAGCAAATATACAAATGTACAGCAAATCGAACAAACATATAAAATGGGCCGAAATGTATAAATGCTATAAAGCGTGGGTCAGTGAAACAAGTTCAGAGGACAACTTTTAAAACACAAGGTTTATGGCCGCCCAAAGTCTCAATAACGTCACCTCCACCTAGTAATAAAATTATGAAATATGAAGTGTGAAACAAATTATGAAATATGAAGTGTGAAACAATCAAGAAATAGCTCGTATATAAATTATAAAATTGTCTCTCAAATACAGATAACGTCCGAAAACTATTAAGATACACAATACTCATTCAAATACTGATCAGTGTCCGAGAGACATGAACTGCTTCACGGTGGTTTCTTATCACGGCTACAGACTTTCCCGTACCGGATATAGTGGTCGAGATGAGTCTGTTCAACCCTCTTCTTCTTCAGGTCGGTAACCAGATGTTTCCTCGTTGCTCGTTCTTCGCTAGATCTATCTGGACAGATCCATACACTTTTGTGGGTCTCAACTAGCCTCAGTCTTCCTGTTTTCGTCAGAATCTGTTGAACCGCT